ATCCAAAAGTATCTTCTCTATGTCTCCATTGTGGATAGAGGATGAGGAAGGTACATGTTCTAGCCCTCCATTTTTCTCATTGCCATTGCTGCTATTCATCGGTAGCTCCACCCAGGAACTGTTGAGGCCGGCTGGCGGCGGCAAAGACTGCTCGCTTTCTTCGCAGTTATTGTTGTTGTGCAGGGGTGGCGGCTGCTCTACTAAATTAGACGACATTGTCAGGCAGCTGTAAGATCTGCTGCCGCGACAGGACCGTGTCTGGTTCTCCGCAGCAACACAACAAACCGAGTCCCCCACCCCCCGAATAGCCCCTCTTAACAACATGCCCACAAAGATTCTGAAGCTTCATCTGACATACTTTGGATATGTTGCAAGGAGGGACCAGTCCTTGACCCTCAATAAGATGGATTGATTCAGTGACTGGAGTAATGAGGGTATGTGTATCAGAGACAATAAGTTTGGCACAGGATAGAGCAGGGTTTAGGCTGTTGTACATAGGGTCGCTATGAGTCTCAGGCAACTAGACAGCACATAACAACAACAACAACAACATGCCCAAAGTATTTTTGTTGTTGTTATGGATTGTTGAGTCAGAACCAACTTATAGCTGACCCTCCGGGAGATTTTCAGAAACTATAACTAGCACAGGAGGAGAATGCCCATCTTTCTCCTATACAGCAGCTGGTAGACTCAAACTGTGTGCCTTTAGGTTGGCAGTCCAGCACCTCACCACTAAGCTACTCCACTAAAAGTTCCCCCATGGAGTTGTATAACCTTCTAATTGATGACACAGAAAGAAGACCTGTCTGCTGTGTGTTGTACTGGGGTGGGTAAGGGGTGGGTAGGGGACAAATGTGTGTTGCTTTGACAATGGAAGCTATTAGCAAGATTTCAAATACCTACAGTAGATTGGTTTTGGTGGCTCTCCCAGATCAAGACAGACTAGGAACACTCAACCATCTACATCTGAAAAATGAGCCAACAAAATGTTAAAGGATTGTAACAGATCATTGTAACAGATTTCTGGCTAGTGGAGGCCATCATGTCCAGTGCAGCTCAGGGTCAGTGAGTGGAGGGACAGACACCCACGTGAGGTGGCTTGGCACAAAGTTGAAGCCAAGGATTCCAGTGTTGTGGGGTGCTGCAGGATGGATGGGGTGTGTCCTTCCTTCTGTTGTGCACAAAGCCACCATGACTTAAAGTTAAGAAGACTGCTGACAGCAATAACAACTCATGAGGTCAGAGCACTGAGTTTTTTACCAGGAGTCAAGAAATTTACTATTTTTATTTTTCACTCATGTTTGTAATTGATTTCTAAATTAAAAAAAAAAAACCAAACAAACAAAACAAAACAACCAAACAAACCAAACACAAAAAACACAGGGCCAAAATGTTCTGAACATTTTGTTCAGGACAAAATGTCCTGGCCTGTGCTCAAGTTCCAAGTGGACTCTTCTTTTTTTTTTATTTTATTTTATTATTTTTTGTGTGTGTGTACCGTCAAATCAGATCTGACTGGTACAGGAGTAGATTGTCCCTTCTTCTCCAGCAGAGCATCTGGTGGATTTGAACCATGCACCTCTGGGATTGCAGTGCAAACCCAAGTGGACTCTTATCCTGGTTTTCCTCACTGAGGCCTTCGTGAGCACCCACTCCTCATGCATACAGAACCCCATCCACCTCTTCTCAGATACCCGCTTCTTTTTCCCCCTCTTCACTTTCTTTTTACTGTATATTGATTTGCATACAAAACTTGTATACATTGTACATCATTCATATACATGTCATGTTTCACACATTCTGACATTCACATTGTGTTTCAAATATCTCTCATGTACCTTTCATTTCATTAAATTAATTACCATTAAATATGAGGTCCAATGTTTCAGATGCTGCCAATATGATGGAGGGACACATGGACAGTTGAAGAGATGGAACACAGAACCAGTGAAATAGAAGATAAAATTGTTACCACTGATCTGCCAAAACAAAAAGCAGAATGAAAAATGAAGGAAAAAGAAGAAAATATAAGAATAATATGGGACACCATCAAGAGAAAGAGCATGTGCATAATC